CAATGGTTTTTGACTTATCGCCGACAAAACTACTCATGACCACGTCGCTGGGGATGAGGTCCTCCTTCGACTTGTCCAGCTTTCTCATCAAGGAATAGGGAAGGATGTTGACCGTCGCCCCACAGTCAACGAAAACCTTGGATATGGGCACACCCTCTATGTGAGCTGAGATATATAACGGCTTCAAGTGCCGGTATTTGTTCGGCTCGTCTCTTGGTATCACCTCGTTGAACGCTACGGCCAGCAATTCCTCCTTAGTCTTTGGTCTCTGATCAAATTGCTCTTCGGGCACGTCATCCTCTAAGCCGCTGGTCTGTCCTCCTGGGGCTGAAAACTCGAATGGCAGCACCAAGACCATGTTGATGCCGACCTCCTCCGGTTCCTGCGGGTTTCCCCTACCGGCTTCTTCTTCGGTCTTAGAACCGTCTTTGGCGAGAGCCGTTTCCTCGACCATCCCGAGGATTCCCTCATATTCTTCATCGGAGATTCCTATTGCGGGGGCGTCCTCGGCCTCATGCCCGAAGAGAGGATCTCCGAAACCCTCGTCCATAAGCCTCATGGCCCTCGGACTATCGGTTGTGGACGCTTTGACCTCAGGGGGTTCTGAGGTTTCGATCTCCTCTTTGAGGGCCCGTCTAGCCTCTGCCAATGCGTCCCTGGCCGCTAGGTAATCGTCTAGGCGGCTTACTCGGCCCTCTTCCTCGGTCGTTAAACCAAAGAACGTGTCTGCCGGCGTCACAGCAAAGTACCGGCGGAGATATTCCAAATCACCCCTGCCCGAGGTCGGGCTGGTAACTTGGCAGGCCTCTTGCTCTGGACTCCCTGTTCGCCTGGTATACGGCCTTAATGGCCGAGTTAGAATCACTGGTGATGAGGAGCGCTTCTGCCTTTGTGTTCTTGAGGGCCAATTCTACGATTTCTCGGCTCTCAGGGGTCATGCCGTACAGATCCGTGGCCGAATGGTCTCTATGGAATTCTCTGAGGAAGGACAGACCGCTGGCCGAAAAAGGGGGATCCCTCCCGTGGTAGATGTCGACGACACCTTCATCTGTTCTCTCCATAACCGCAGCCTTTGGCTGAGCTGAACTGGCCGACAAACCTCGGGGACTTTCGCCCTGCCTAGGGCGCCACGCCCTCAGAGGCTTGGTGCTGGCTGCTCTCACGGCTGGGGAGACAACTGGTTCGGATAACGGCCCGTCAGCAGTCGCCACTTTCTTTTGGCGTTTGAAGCCCTCAACCTCGGCTGTCTGCTTCCTGGCCTGCTGAACCTGCCTCTGCATTCTTCTCAGCTGGGTTTTTGTCAGTGGTTCGGCCCTGCCCCCAGGCCGTGCATGGT